CCTTCAGGGCTTCCGTGTCGACCTTCCAATCAAATCAGCCCGCTACAGGGGACAGTACAGCTCTTATCCAATCAAACTCTTCTATACCTCCAATATTCCCATCATTCTCCAATCTGCCCTTGTATCAAATCTCTATCTTATCTCACAGGTCAGTCAGTTTGAAAAATCTAAAAATTAACCTGTTCGAGTCGTTAAAAAAATATGCGTACATCATGATCTGTCTTGTTATGCTAAATTTAGATAATGAATATGGATTTTATTTGTTTTGCAGATTTTGGCAACAAAGTTTAGTGGAAATTTCTTGATTAATTTACTCGGAGTGTGGGCTGTAAGTAACTTTTTCATTCAAAGTTTGAATTGCGAATTGAACAGCGAAATAAATTTTTCATTCTCAACGCAGAACATTCATTTATAAGTCATTTCTTTAAAACTAGATAAAAAGTAATAAACGTGAAATATCCTCTGAGAGTAAAATTGTAAATTTTAGAGCAATTTCCTAATATCATTCATTTTTAGTTCATAAACTTATATTCTTTAACAAATATTCAACATGTAAGCTTGAAATACCCGGAGACTAGAGCAACAGAATCATTCCTATTTATCTAAATAATGTGTTTTACCTGTGACAGGATGTTGGGGGTGGTGGACCGGCCCGTTCCTACCCTATCGGGGGTCTCTGTTACTATCTGTCTCCCCCAGAGACTCTATCCCACGTGGTGGAGGACCCCATTCACGCAGTACTGTACATGATCTTCATGTTGGGATCTTGTGCTTTCTTCTCCAAGACCTGGATTGATGTGTCTGGCTCAAGCGCAAAGGATGTAAGTAGTATCAGCAAAGAAGAGATGTAATCTTAGAACAAGAAATATCAACGTCACGTTATAAATGGGAACTAAAAGATTTTTAAAAATATGATACAATTCATTCTTTGGACAAGTTTAGGAAAATCATGTCAGTTACACATATGTATAGTCTTTGAAGTTGATGAGAAAATGTTGAGATAAACTGATATCCTTTATATTTTAGGTTGCTAAACAACTGAAGGAACAGCAGATGGTGATGAGAGGACACAGAGAACAGTCTATGATTCATGAGTTAAACCGTTACATCCCCACCGCCGCAGCTTTTGGTGGTCTCTGTATCGGAGCTCTCTCAGTCTTAGCCGATTTCTTAGGTATGTCATTGCTGAGTATTTATCACCCCACATGTATTTATTATCGCAATACAGAGAAAATATCTGCTTCTAAGATATGCAGTATATACATATAGGTGTTTTAACATTGGATACAACTTTTTTTTCACAATTGGTTGGTTTTAATTTAAAGATAAAAAAAAAACTTTAATATTTAGGTGAACAGGGCAAGTTGATTGAGAACAGAGGGTCAAATCAAAACTAACAACCGTTGACATTTTTTTAAAACATGAACACTTTCTAAAAATGTTCTGAATAAGTTGTGGTTACATAAGGGGGATAACTTAGATGAAATTATTTCATTGAAAATAAATGCTAAAAACATATGACAATGAAACTTTAAAAAAATTATTTTCATACTTGTTTTTCTTTTACAGGGGCTATTGGAAGTGGAACTGGTATTTTGTTAGCTGTTACCATTATTTACCAGTATTTTGAAATCTTCGTTAAAGAACAGAGTGAAATGGGTGGAATGAGCACACTATTATTTTAAACAAAAACTAGACTTTAAAGACATATATCATTTCTCCATCAGCCTTTTCATTCAACAAACAGGACAATTCATTATAAAGGTTTTAAAATACATAAACTGTCATATTGCTTCCCTTTGATATTAAGTGAAGATGAAATGATTGAACTCTTTAATATGTACATCATTTAAAACAAAATAACTTTAAAAAATTGTTTATATTTTGAACAGCTGTATTTATTTTTGTTTGAATTGTATATAGAAGAAGACAGTCATATCTACTTATGTATTTATGACCATATTTATAATTTTTGATAGTAAAAAAAAACTAAATAAGTTATATGATTCAAGATGTAGAGGAAAAATGGAAAAGGTTGTTGATAAAATAAGCATGTTGCAAGAAAGCTTTCACTCAGTTTTCTAGAAAAGCTCATCGTTAGGCCGAGGAGTCTGATTTCTCACCGAATGCTTAATAAGTGGTAATGGTTCTTCATTGTTGTTGTAACAATGGTAGGTGATGTCTGTAAGAATGAAGTGAATAAGTGTGTTTCATTATAGGATTTTTTATATGTTACAAAATGTGAGAAAGAAAAATAAAAATGGAGGAAAAAAATTGTTTTTGATTGTTTATATTTAGGTAAGCAAGAATGACTGCATACATGTATAATCAGCCTACACATAATTATGTAGTATCCATTTATATATTGATCCCCCAAATATTATTCCGTCTGATTCAAGTTAAAACGGTATCTACTGGTAATAAGATGACATCTTTACATCAGACTTTTTTGCAGTACAGTAACTTTCATGAAAGGTCAAGGCTAAGTAATGATGACACTATAATAAATGTTGTAAGCATGGTATATAAAACGCCACAACTCTTTCAATTTTCCTCGAAAGATTTGGAGGTGACCAAATGAACTTGCCTAGTGATCCCTGCTTTTTAGGGGAGAGGGTCAAAGTTGGATTTCTCTACTGACAGTATGGGCACTATATTATTTGAGGGTCCCAGAATCAAAGCAATACGCTCCAACATCATTTAATTAGGTATCATTTTGCAACTGCATTTCTGTTCGATACATACTTCAAGTGATGCATGTGTTGAGAGAAAAAAAACTAAATTCTAAGAACAAGGTCATAATTTCATTGTGGTATCCATAAATGAGGTAAGAGTACATGTATTGTGTATAACAGAAATATGGGCTTGATTCGAGATCACTAGCTAGTATCCTGATAACTTTCAGAATTGTACTTTCTGAGTGATTGTAGGTGTAAACTAATAGGGCTGGACAATAATTCGATATTTCAATATATTGCAATACAATGACGAAAAATATCATATCGAAATACGATTTTGTAATATCGATATACATGTATTGGCAATTTGCTTAAATTTAGGAATTTTTTCATTAAATATAGAAATGAATATGAAAGTTTGTAATGAAGCCAAACAGTAAGGAAGTTGTTTTGTGGGAACATTTCAGAGCAAAACTTAAATGAAATCAACAAGATTTTTTTCCCGCATTGATAGTTATGTACATTCTGCATGTAAATTAAAGTAAATATAGAAAGAAAATGCCATTTAAATTACATTAACGATATTGCAATACATATCCCAATACAGTTATATCGAAATACGAAATCTCGGGCCAATACCCAGCCCTATAAACTAAACAATTTGTGCCCAATCTCAAAGTTGAAATTCGAAGACATATAAAAAGCATGCTAATTGGAGGTAAAAGCTTATCCATTCCAGGTGGAAAGTTTGACAGCCCTGACAATAGATGATGGAGAAAAATATGTCACCATGTATAGGCAGTTTGTTTATTCGTATTCCCATGAGAAGTTCTACATATAGCAAGCGTACTCCATATTATGCCCATAAGAACGATACATTATGCTTGTAAAAAAATCAATTTGGCATAACCAACTACAGTATATCATAAAGCATATGGTTTGTTCAATACATAAAAAAAATTAAGATTTTTCTCATTTGCCTGTAGTTGTAAATACATATACATGTAATTTTTAGTTCTATATATACTATGAGCATCATGTCTTAGAGGGTACAGGGAATAATAGATGTTTCAAAAGCAGGAGGAAAGGTTGAAATTGAATCAGACAAGTTTCTGTTTTCAATAAGTTTAATGGAGCTGTATGTAAATGTACATATGAAGAGAAATATAACAACTGATGCGGAAATGCAACATGAGGTGAGATTTCTTCCTATGAGACAACGCTAGGGCATTGCTGCAATGTCAACATCAGTCACGGAGTCAACAGGTTCACAATCTATCACTTTTTTCTTTTTTGTCATTCTTTTTTGAACACACAGATTTCACTTCATATATTTGTCTTCTTGTTCTGCCAGAATTTTAGCTGAAGATTTAGCATCATAAAACAGTTTGTTAATTTCCTCGATCTCCTCTGTAGAAATGGCGTCCTTTCCGTTGATCTTGGCCAGAAGATTTCCTGGTGTCAGAAGCTGTACAGAGTATCTGTAAAAGTAAAACAGAGAGTGTTTAAAGAGGTTTTGTATTTAGATCCAACAAGAAAAAATTTACTGCTCTTCAAGATGCAAGTAGTTTTATGTTTTAGGTGGATTTAGTTGTGATATCATACTACTGTAGATCACCAGATTTACGAGACCCTAGTTTTGCGAGATTGCAATTTGGTTCTTATAAGTGAGACACAATTTTCGTGAAGAAAATTTGATGCTATAAAATCTTTGCATATGCAAATAGAAGCGGGAATTAAATTTTCATGAGCAAATCGTTTTGTAATTACACTAAATTAAAGTTCTTGCAAATAAAACATGATTTACAGTATACAGAGTAGAGGAATACCTTAACGTTGTTTGAACACCGATCTGTCCCAGCTGTGACAAGGACTCATCATCTATCTGGATTCCCTCTGTCTGAGATCGGATTTTTAGGATCTGCAAAGAAAATCAATTCAGTCATTTTGTCCAATATATACAGTCAAACTTTGTTATCTCGAACCTGATGGGACTGAGAAAAAACTTTGAGATATCCAAGGATTCGAGATATCCAAGGAAAAATACTTAAAGAATATGTGGTTGGGACTTCCAAATCACTTCAACATATCCATGGTATTCAAGATATTGGAGTTCGAGATAACGAAGTTCAACTTACTGTACATGAATTTAATATCTTCTTGTACATACATGTATTGGAGAAAAAGTTAAACCTTAGAGGATGACATTAGCAAAATTCATCTTTGGAACATGATTAAAGTAGAAGAACTTTAAACAAATTTCAACAGTTCAGAATAAATACTACAGAGAATACAAATTAAAATAAGACAAGTCGACTGTTACTTGTACAAATGGTGTCTGCCATTGTCCTAAAGTGACATACCTGTACCATTTCCTCTTGTGAGTATGGTAATGTTCTGATGATCATCACCCTGTCTAACAAATCCAGGGGGATACCATGGGGGGCTACAACATCCTCTGTTCCTCTGTCATGAGACCAAAAATATCAATTATGTATTTAAGCATACAAAAGGATCTAAAGGAGAGATAAGTCTTCAATGAACACTGTTTGACCATTTTTAAAACCTATATGTAAGTTAAACTTTGTTACTTTTTACTAAAATAATTATATTTTTAATTATCTTTATTAAATACAATGTTTTGGTAGAACTTTTTAAAATAATTTTAATTGATCCCAGCAGAAACGTGACTGAACAAGGACCAAAAATATGCCCAGGTTGTATTTGATTAACACAAAATAAGCAGTTACTCTATTAAATGAGCCTTACTTGATGGTACACTTTCCGCGGTTGGTGGCGAATATCACAATAGGTGCTATGGTGGACTCCAGGGCTCTGTGGAGGTAGGTAAAACATTCAATGTCCAACATGTGAACCTCGTCAATGAACAGAACACCCGGCACCAGTTCAGCAATACCCTGATCAATGTACTTGTTCACAACCTTATTGATCTCCTTTCGCAGCTTGTCTGAAAAGACATGTTACAGTAAAGAAATATATAATCATATAGCTGGACTCCCTTTTCTAGCTGAAGTCTTAGGGATATACACAAAGCATTGTGGAATTATACAACAAGTTTGATTAATCCAGGAATCATTTATAAGGTTATGATTTATGATGTGTCAGATTTTGTAGTGCTGGTTTTCAATAAAAAAAAATTGAGAGGTGTTAGCTGTTTAAAATTTTAAAGTAATTTTTTTTAAAATCTTAATCCCTACAATTTATTTGGGAACAGTTCAGAAAAGAGGATGATTCAATTAAATTATAAAAAAGTGACAAAATGGTTACCTGTGATTTCTGTTTTCTTTGGTTTCATTAACTGACCCATCATTGACATAATGTCTTGTCCTCCCTATAAAAGAAACAGATACTTCACAGATTGAGTATATTCACACACATATATTTATTACAATAGTTGGTAAGTTCCATATCTTATACCTATAAAACTTGAAATATCATATACTACCTGAAAGAATTACTGTATACAGGGAAATTTTCGCCTCCGTTTTATTTTCACCCCTTTCGCCCTCTCCTTGATTGGGTGAATTTAAAACGGAGCGAATTCAAATTACACAGCATAATTTCTTAAACAGAACTATGACTGGGCGAATTTAAAATGGGACAAAATTGTTCACAAGTTCAAGAGAGTGAAAATAACACAGGGCGAAAATAACCCTGTATAAAGTACCATGGTAATGTTTGGATCAGGTTTTGAGCCATTCTCAATTACTGGTACATGCATACATGTAAATGTACAAAGAGTAAACTTGATATCAACGTTACCTGAGGTCGGGCATTAGCAATGTCAAGGTCATGGAGCGTGACATCCTGTATGACCTCTTTCTTTTTGTGGACGTCCCCTTTAGGGAGGGGGACATATTCCTCTGCCTCCAGATCGTACTCTGTGGCATAGCTGTCTGATCGACCTTGTCTCTGTCGAGAAAAAATATTTTACAGAGATTTTCAAAGTATCATCAGACAAGTGTCTTCCTTAAAAAAAACAAAAGATAAAATTTCCCGTGAAATCATATTCAGATTAATTTCATCATGCAGTAACTTTTATAATTTGATCACACCCTTGACCTTTACGTTTATTGACAAGATAAAAACAAACTCAGTCTCCTGGCTTTACCTTGACTGCTCCACTGTTGGCCTCTATGTATATCACATCCCCTACTTCTACTTTCTCTTTCTGTAAGCTTTCATAAATAGATGGATCAAGCTTCAGCTGTTTTGTTCCCTTGGCTGTTTTTAACCCAATTACAACATGGCTGACTGTCTTTCCATAGCCTGCCAAAAAAATATAATATATAGAAAATTAAATCTTACATGATGTCACTTATTATGTACTATAATGATATTCCAATAAAAATATTTACATAGGGCTATCTTCAAATAATTGCTTTATTGTCCTCTCCCAGTTGACTAGCTGTATTTGGCATGACTTAAAACCTTTATATAACCCCCACTTGAAAAGCAGGAGGGTATATAGTAATCATAATAATAATGTAATGGGGATGTACGTCAGTCATCTGTTAAGCTTTGGTGTACCCATCCCATATATCCACAACTCCTCTTATACCACTGTATGAAATTTGATG